CGGGGCGGCGGCTCCGGCGGCCGTGTGACCTCCTGCGCGAGCGCGGCCCGGCTCGCCCCGGCCCTGGGCCCCTGCCTGGTAGCGCGGTGCCCGTGCTCTGGCCCGCTCGCTATTCAGGTCTCAGTGCCCAGGTCACGTCGCAGGGGGGCTCCCTCCCGCCCAGCGTAGCCCCAGCCGGCAGCACTCCTCCCAAATGCCGGTTCTCGGGAGGGGCTGTGATTGGCCCGGTTCGGGGCTGGAGCTCTGCATCCGCGTGGTCGTGGGGGTAGGGGGATCAGCCCGGCCGGGGCCACCTGTCCGCGCAGCTGCGGGCCGGCTCCGGGGTTTGCCTCGCGCCGTCCGGGGCCATCGGGAGGGGCGACTACCGTTGGAGGAGGCTGCTGCGTTTGTATCCAGAACACATCCTGGCAGAAAGGCGAGCTCTCTCTTGAGTTGCTCCTTGGAATTAGGCCCAAGACTCGAGGGTCCCGCGCTTCTGCCACCCACACCAATCCCCGTAACCCCTTTGCCCTCCCATCTGCAGCTGCCCCAGAAGTGTGTGACCCCTGGATCGGCCGGAACGTCCGTCTTCCTTGCCTCGCTGCTAACAGCTAGTGGGGAAAATACTTTTCGAGAAGAGCCCCAAGATCTCTGTGTCGTCTCTCCTTCCCAGAGGCCTTTCCCTGCTGCCCAGAAATGAGGTTCTGTTTCCTAGTCGCTCTCCCATTTCCCACGACAGCGACCGCAACCTTCTTCATCCTGCTCAACCCATGATTCACCCTCACAGTCATTGCTGGCAACAGCCCTCCCAAGGAAAGATGCCCACACTACGAAGGGACCCTGCCTCAGAACCAAAGGTTGGGAGACATTTGGCTCCCCTGACTTCCATCCAGGTTGCCTGCATTAATGGGCATCTGCCTCCAGAACCCAGATGAGTGGGGCGCCTCGGTGGCTCTGTTGGTTAAGTGCCTGCCTTCGGCTTGGGGCATGATCCCAGGGTGCTCAGCGGGGAGCCCGCTTCTCCCTCTGCAGCTCCCCCTGCTCATACTCTCTCTCTCTCTGTGTCAAATAAATAAATAAAATCTTTAAAAACCCACATGAGTGATTCTCAACCATGGCTGCACGTTGTTGGGGGGGTGGATTTTAAAACTACTGATGTCTGGTGCCACCCACAGAGATTCTGTTGAAACTAATCTGAGACAGGGTCTGGGCGCACACACACACACACAGACTTTGCGGTGATGTTTAGCTTTCCAGGTGATTCGAACATGCAGCCAACAAAGTTGAAAACCAGCAACCCAGGTCAATGACTCTCAAAGCGTGGTCCGAATTGGCAGCATCAGCATCTCCTGGGAACTTGTTAGAAATGCAAATCCTCGGGCCCCATTCACACACCTTCTGCATCAGAAACTCTGGGGGTAGGGTTTAGCAATCTGCTTTAACAGGCCCTTCAGGGGGTCTGATGCCCACTAATGTTTCCCTGTCAACTGGCCCAGATGTCGGCTGCGCTTCCTTCAATCAGCCCTCACACGTGGGGTGGACAGAAAAAAGGATAAGTTGCATCTTCCTGGCTTCGCCCCGGCCCACCATCTGCTTTGTTATAATAGCCAATTCAGGGGCCATCTGGAGCAACGGAAATTCACTGAGGGAAGGAGACCGAGGCAAATGGCCCGCAAATACCATCCCCATTTCCAGTGTGTATGAGGATGTATACGGCTGGGTAGGACTGGTGTTTCATGGTCTCCCAACAGGCTTAGGACTTGCACTGAAATTTTTTATAGATGAGGGGGAGCAGTTTCGCTCCTCTTGAAAAAATGGCAGGTAGGAACCTTGGCCACCCTCTTGAATTCACTCAGGGACAGATACGTGGAAAATAAAAGACGCGCCGGTCGGTCGTGTTCACCCGCGTCCCCTTCTCTTCTATCCGTGGAGAATGTGAGGAGAGCTCCCAGCACTGGGAGCTTTCTTACACTTTAAAATCACATCATCTCGGGGCGCCTGGGTGGCTCAGTTAGTTAAGCGACTGCCTTCGGCTCAGGTCATGATCCTGGAGTCCCGGGATCGAGTCCCGCATTGGGCTCCCTGCTCGGC